CACTACCGAAAAAAATTTACCTGCTGATTTCTTCCGAGATACCTGAGCCTCTCGGTTGCAGTCATTCTGCCCTTAGCAACTTCCGATGTCGATCTCTGTAGCTTTGTGATCAAACATCGGTTTGCCATCAAACCCGCGGACTTCCTATTCCCCTCCTCACAGCAGATGGGCATTCATAGTCCATAAGTCTGCTTTCAACCCAACTCCCCAAGTTTATCCCTTTCCATTCTCATGGCTTCTTTGCAAGTGAACCAAAACTGGTTGCACCCTTCTCTCTAAGTACACTGTCAATGTAACCCCCCCACGTCTGCTGCTAGAGTAAGGCCACGGTGACAACACTCCAGAAGTTCAGAGCGCGATGAACAATGCGGCCAAAGAAAAGGACACAAGATGGATTCCCATAAATAGAACAATAGTGATAATGAACTGATCAAGATGGTAATGCACGATCATGATGAACTGATCCTGACAACACAATTCAATGCTAACAAATCAGAATGTTGATGACAATGACAGGTAGGAATGACGTTAGTCAGCAAGAGGACAAGATGGAAAAATGCATGGTGATCATGTGGGCACGATGACAACACCACAATTTCATACGACCAACGGTCAGGGCTTCTATCAACTCAGCGCCTTACACAGAACATCAGTCAAAGGGTGCATCGGCAGGCTCATCTTGATTTACCAGTTTGAACTGGGCATCCTGAAACTTGCAGCTGCCGCAGTAGCAAGCACAGACAAAACATAAAACTCAGAGCGAGGCGTGCAGCTGTAAGGCTACACCACATAAAATTCAAAGTAAGAACAAAACAAACAGAATTGGAGGAGGTAGAAACAAGAGCTCAGGCATTCAGAATGACAGCTCACAGTGACTCCGACCGCCCGAATGACATCTGGCAGAAGGTTAAGCTGCACATGCTGGCTGAGCATTTTTAATGCCAGCCGGTCACCATGTCTGCTGTTGAGAAGAGATAAGAAGTAACATAGTCACCATTGTATGAGCATCCACAGCAGGATGCTGAAATGCCAAGCTGCCAAACAGCCAAGCAACCAACTGGACAGAGAGAGAGAGAGAGAGAGAGAGAGAGAGAGAGAGAGAGAGAGAGAGAGAGAG